CCTAAACAATGGTAATCAGTGCCTACTCGGGTTCTGCTAGTAGCCCAAAACATGACAGTATACAGTAGTTTTGCGGCATGTGCTTTGGACATATAAGCTCTCTTGATCAACATACCTGATCCCAAACTTGCCCCCTGTTTCCCTTACAACACAGTAGGAAACCAAAAAAAATCCCAGAAGGACCTTTAGATCAACCTTCATTTTGGAGAGATTCGAATTTAGGGTTTAGGTGTAGGGTTTAGGGTTTTGGGGTTTAGGGTTTCGGGTTGAGGGATTGGGGTTAGGTCTTAAGGAGAAGTGTCGGGGCCTGCGGCTTAGACATCATACACTCTCATGCAATGTCCCACGGACGAACGAGAGTGAGAGAGAGAGAGAGAGAGAGAGAGAGAGCCCTAAACCCAGAAAGGCCTCCAGCCCCAAAGCCCAAAAGCCGCACCTGGGCCCCCTGAACTGGCCCGAAAGTGAGACCTAAAGCACACTTAAAGCCCCAATCACGCCGCAAACATCTCATTGAAAGTGGCATTTAGGGTTTTAGGGCTTAGGAAGGCCGGCAGGCCCTAAGCCCGGAACCCAGGGTTTAGGGTTTAGGGTTTAGGGTTTATAGAAATTGTATAGGGTTTGGGTCCGGAGTTTTGACCGAGTTTTGTGCGATTTTTTTGCTTTTGGTTCAGAAAAGCTGAAAAACACCGGCTTTTTCAGCCTTTTTTCAAGCCCCAGAAAAACGCTCCCCAGAGTTTCGACCGGGCGCGATTTCAGGGTTTGTGAAGGCCCCGCCAAACTAGGGAAAATCCCTACGTTTTGGCCTTCATTCAGGGCTTGTGAAACCCAAAATGGTCAAAAAATCACAAAAATTGGGGCTTCCAGGGCCACCAACCTAAGGAAAATACCGACGTTTTGGCCTTAATTCGGCCATTTTGGTGGTTCCCATGGCCGCCAAACTAGGGAAACCCCTACGTTTTGGCCTTCATTCAGACTTGTGAAAGCCCTATGTTTTGGCCTTAATTCAGGGTTTTTGAAAGCTGGCCATTTTGAGCCTCTTTGGCCTCTTGGGCCTTTTTGCCTGCCTCAGCCTTGGCCTCCCTGGCCTCCTTGGCCTCCTGGGCCTTTTTGGCCTTCGCGTGTCGAGAGGCTCCTCCGTGACACGCACGGAGGCCTAGCGGCTCGCGCTGGCAGCAGCGCTTACCGCCCCGCGGGGCTGTATGACAGCCAGGCCGGGTCTGGGGGGGCAAGAAGCAGTGCCGCATAAAGAGGTGGAGGAGGAGGTCAGGGGGTGGGAGGCAGAGGAAGAGGCCCCGGGCTGCGGAGGAGGAGGCCAGGGTGCGGGAGGCAGAAGGCCCGGGCTGCGGCGGTGGAGCGGAGGCGCGGCAGAGGAAGAGGCCCGGGCTGCGGCGGTGGAGGAGCGGAGGCGGACGGCAGAGGAGGAGGCGCGCTCGGTTTGGCGTCGACCTACGCCGAGGACATTTGTCCTCCTCGCTGCTGGTGACGGCCATCACCAACGTTCCCCAGAGCCACGCCATGAGGACCATGGTGGGATCCTGAGGGGAATCTCCTACGTTCTCCGTGGCTTAAGCTTCTGTGAAAGTGTCAGGTGTGCCTTTGCCTGCCCTAGAGCTAAAGTGTGCCTATGCCTGCCAACTGCTGCCCTAGAGCTAAAGTGTGTCCACGGTGCTATGGTGCTGTAGTGCTGCTGCCATGCTGCCATGCTGTCGTGTTTGCTCTGCGGTCCATGCCGCTTACTTGAACCATGGAGCGGCGCGGACATGTATTAAGGTTAGGGCCAGGGATTAAGGCTTATGCAGGGCACTTGGCTGGCACTCCTACAGGGACGCAAGGGATTTAGGGTTGCAGGGCACTCTAAAGAAAATCGGTTACAGCCACGGCAAAAGTCACTGGTTTTTAATCCCCCAGGCCAAAGTAAGGAAAATCCCTATGTTTTGTCCTTAATTCAGTGTTTTTGAAGGTCCAAAATGCTCAAAAAATCGCAAAATTTTGCCATTTTGGGTGTTTTCAAGGCCGCCAAAAGTAAGGAAAATCCCGATGTTTTGGCCTTAATTCAGGGCTTGTGAAAGCCCAAAATGGTCAAAAAAAACACAAAAACTTGCAATTTTGGTGGTTTCCAAGGCCGCCAACCTAAGGAAAATCCCTATGTTTTTGCCTTAATTCAGGATTGAAAACCCAAAATGGTCAAAAATCATCCAAGGCCGCCAATCTCGGGAAAATCTCAAGTTTTTGCTTGAATTCAAGATTTGTGAAGGTTCAAATGGACACAAAATTGGCCACTTGAGTGGTTTGCAAATCCTTATCTTTTGGCCTTAAAACAGGGCTTGTGAAGGCGCGCCGTTGCGCTTGGTGAGGCTATACAATTTCTATTTATACAGGTCTTGAGGGTTTAGGGTTTAGGGTTTAGGGTTTAGGGAATTCTATGTAGCCTACTAGGGTCTCAACAAGCTCTCAGGGTGCCACGGGGGCCTTAGAGCCCCAAACGAAACCCTGCACTCTGAGGTCATGGCATGGCCCCTGAATATGGGACCTTTCGTGGGGACCCTTATATATACCCCAATAACACCCGGGGGTTTAGGGTTTAGGGTGTAGGGTTTAAGGTAAGGGCCACTCAAACCCCTGAAGCCACCGAGGCCTGATGTGTTCTCTTCGCCGTGGTCGAGGCTGGCGACCGAAATTTGAAACGCTTGCCCAGGTGTCATACAAGGAGGGGCGACCAAATGAACCAAATTGGGGTCATATGCCCTATGCTACTCATTCCTACTAAGGTAATACTAAGGTAATACTAAGGTGATGCGAACCATGAACCACACAAGCAGGAGCCCCCCTTGCTATAAGTGTAGGCAAGATGCGAGAATCTCCCAAGTTATCTTTTCACCTGCTTTTTCTGGGGGCTCCTGCACCTCCAGTCACAACTAGAGCACCCCTCCCCGTAGGCACCTTGACACAGAACTGTGCAGCACAGCGCGGTGGTCGCACTAAACCCTAAACCCTAAACCCTAAACCCCAAAACCTAAACCCTGAATTCAGCTTCGCTCGTTGCCTCTTCCATCATCCGTGCCAAAGAGCATTCTGTACCTTGAAATCCTGCTCATCCTGGCTGATCGCGTCCGAGAAGGACTTCTCTTCTGCCTTGAGAAAAGATGCTTCGACTCGGTTTCTTTGGTCCATCACTGCGAATTGGATTCAGCTCCGTGTGGGAAGGGGCAGCTTGCCTTGCACATAGGATGCCGTGCCAGCTGGCGCGATGTTTGGTCGCTATGAGCTGGTGAATTCAAAAGAGGCCGGCGATGAATAGATCAGAAAGTCCCTATGAGGGCTTCGTACACTCAAATGACAGCAGAAGCCTCTTTCAAAGGACCCCGAACAAGGGGGACCTCTACATCTGGTGAGTTCTCCAAATTGTGATCCCTTTTTCGGTCTTTATTCTAAGGCGGCCCCTTTCCTTTCGGGTCCCCAAAGCTGGGCCTTGATTTAGAGAACGCACCATGTCGGAAACCCCCACATTGTGACAGGCGACTCTACTTCTGTTTCTGTTTTCCTCTCGCTTTCCCAAGCAGACGCCCATGCGGCCGCAAGCCCGCACTCAGAGGCAAGGGTCTTAGGGTTCAAGGTTTAGGGTTTAGGTTTCACTTGAACCTTGCCTGGAGGGTATGGGCTCACGACTGGCGGCACAGGACGCAACGCTAATTTCTCACAGGAGGGGTAGGGGTTGGGGGGTGGGCCCGTAAAATTTACGATGCCCAAGAGCAGCCTAGAAATAAAGAGGGTCCTCTTTTGGATTAAAAAAACTTATAAGCGAATCTAAACCCTAAAAAGAAGGGAATGAGGGCCTACGCTTGGTCTCGCTTAACTTCAACCATCTGCCAGACTCCTCCACCCCAACACGGCCCGTCCATGGGACGACATGAACCCTTTTATGGCTCGTCGACCTTAACAGGACTACTAGAAGCACAAGGTGTTTGAAACCCTAAACCCTAAACCCTAAACCCTAAACCCTAAACCCTAAACCCTAAACCCTAAACCCCAACTTTTGGGGTTCATGTGGTCCCCAGGGTTTTTCGAACCTAGAACCACCTGGGACTCGACTTGCTGACGGCTCAGTAATCTGTACCTCCCCCCCCTATTTAGTAGGTAGAACCCTTAAAACTGTAGAAAAAAGGGGGTGCAGCCCTTAAAAACTGTAAAAAAAATAGGGTCCCAGGCAGTGACTACGAAGCAAGATGCGATGAAACTGGGGCCGAAGTCCTTTTCCGGGCTTCGTCAAAGTAATAAGTAGCAGCTCCGGGCATGGCGCGTAGATGAATTCGGGTCCCGTGGTGGCCTATACAAGGGACCCCAAACCCCCCAAACCCTAATAAACCTTCAACCCTAATGCACCCTAAGAAGGCCTAAACTACCCTACAGCCTAAACTTAAACAGCAGCCCGAACCAAACAGGGGCAAACATCTTGAGAACTTGTCATGTATAGATATGGCCCCGGGGAAACTGATGATGATGATGATGATGAGGGAATCTGGAGTCCAAAGCTGCACCTTGAAGATCTTCAACCCTATAATGCAGGGTTCAAGGCTAAGGGTTTAGGGTTTGAGGTTTGGGGTTTAGGGTTTCGGGTTTGCGGTTTAGGGTTTAGGGTTTAGGGTGTAGGGTTTAGGGTTTAGGGTACCGTGGACCTGAAGGGTTCGTGTCTTCGAGGTGTGGATCACTTTGCCGCGGGCCGAAGCTGGCTACTGAAACTCGAAACGCTTGCGCAGGTGTCATAGGTGACTAAGTGCCTGGGGGGACCCAATGAACCCTCCGGTTGGGGTCATATACCCTATACTGGGTTTAGGGTTTAGGGTTTAGGGTTTAGGGTTTAGGGTTTAGGATTTAGGGTTTAGGGTTTAGGGTTTAGGGTAATATACTTCCAATTCAAGCATAAGAACCTGAAACCCTTTGTCGGGTTCACATGGTCCCCAAGAAATAGGCAATGACCGAATTGAAGGCTTTTGCGTCTCCAGTTACAAGAAGGACGCCCCCGCATGTAGGGACTCTGGCACAGAACTGTGCAGGACGGCGGCTGCCGCACCAATACAGGACAATGGAAGACTGAGGCATCGCTTCACGGTGTCCTGGAGCATGTCAGCTGTGTCCACGGGTTGCGACCAAGATTGTGGGTTCATCTGCATCTCTGCCGAGGATGGCGAGCTGGGCAGAGCAATGTCCTGTTCAACTTCGTCGTCGCTTGCTCCATCAAAAACGGCCCTTTCATCACCAGTGAGGAAGAACATTCGGTTCTTTGAGGTCTTTGTGTCCTGGCTGATGGCGTCCAATAAGGACTGTTCTTCTGCCTTGAGATAAGATGCTTTCAACCCGATGGTTCGGTCCATCAGTGCGAGTTGGATACGCTCCGTGCGCGAAGTGCACTGATTGCCTTGGACATGGGATGCCATGCTAGCTTTTGCGGCGCTATGAGCTGGCGAATCCAAAAGGGCCTGCGGTGAAAAATCCTAGAGTCCCTACAAGTTCATCTGTGTCTTCTTGCATAAATCTTCAGGGCTGGAAGGCCCAAACCCCATACAGGCCTCGAAGCCACCAACAAACCCCCCCAAACCTCGAACCCCCCCCCCCCCCCCCCCCACAACACTAAACTCAGCGCTGACAAGCTCCTACACCCTAAACCCTAAAGGCCCCTAAACCCTAGAAATTGGGTATCTACAAAGGTAAACCCTAAACCCTAAACCCTAAACTCTAAACTCTAAACCCTAAACCCTAAACCCCAAACTGCGAACCCAGGGGCCGGGAAGCTTTGCCACACGTCCGCGGGGTTTTCGTCCATGTGTGGGTAGGACAGCGCATGGCCGATCCTTTCCAGCAACGGCTTGCAACTCCGCGGGGGGGGGGGGGGGGGGGGGGGGCAACTTAGGAATCAATGAGCTACACAAGAGAAAGATGTGTGCGGTGTGCGTTTGTCGTTTGAGAGAGAGAGAGAGAGAGCGAGAGAGACAGAGACAGAGACAGAGACAGAGACGGAGACAGAGACAGAGACCAAGACGGAGACAGAGACAGAGAAAAGATATAAAAGAGGAGAAAAGAGAGGCGAATGGAGGGAGAAGCTCCGGCGGTGAGATAGGGGCAGAGCTGCACCGAGACATCAGAACATCTGCCCCTAAACCCTAAACCCTAAACCCTAAACCCTAAACCCTACACCCTACACCCTAAACCCTAAACCCTAAACCCTAAACCCTAAACCCTAAACCCTAAACCCTAAACCCTAAACCCTAAACCCTAAACCTGGGCGCCAGTCTTTTAAGGCCAAGCCTCAGATAGCCCTGATACTGCAGCTGCACCCCCAGCACCATCACGCTGACCAGGATCAGGCCACCAACGAGCAGCTCCTAGGGTTTAGGGTTTAGGATTTAGGGTTTAGGGTGACAGGCCCACGAAAAGAGGATTGAAGCATTGGAGTTCTTGGTGGAGAATCTGAGAACTACGTCCTGAACTTGACTCGAACAGACACGACTGCCTGGATGAGCCTTGCACCATCCAATCACTGATCCTTAAGCCCTACAACCCTGAGAGCCAAAGAAGCCGCAAACCCCTAAACCCTAAACCCTAAACCCTAAACCCTAAACCCTAAACCCTAAACCCTAAACCCTAAACCCTAAACCCTAAACCCTAAACCCTAAACCCTAAACCCCTAACGGGCCTAAACCCAAAGCCGCAAGAAGGCGTGCAAGGGGCGTAGGTATCGCTTTCAAAGAAGGAGGCCGACATGAGATCCTCGGATCTGTCTCGAAGGGGCTGGCGGGCTGCAGCTTCGGGGCTTAGGGCTTATAGGGTTTAGGGTTTAGGGTTTATAGGGTTTAGGGTTTAGGGTTTAGGGTTTAGGGCTTAGGGTTTGGGGTTTAGGGTTTAGGGTTTAGGGCTTAGGGTTAGGGCTTAGGGTTTATAGGGTTTATAGGGTTTATAGGGTTCATAGGGTTTATAGGGTTTAACTTAGCAGCAAAAACCAGGATGTGCCTGTGCTGTGTAAGCACGTGAAGTTTGGTGATCCGAGTGAAAACCTAGTCAAGCTTGCTCAGCTCCTTGTTCAGTGATGGGTTTAGGGTTTAGGGTTTAGGGTTTGATTAGGGTTTATATCTCAAGGCAGAAGCACTTGGCCTGGACCTCTACGTCCGAAACCTCGGAAACAAGGACCTAAAACCCAAAGTCGCGCGAGGACCGCAAACCCCAAACCCAGCTAGAACCCTGGACGGCTAAACCCCTGTAGAACTCTGAATCCCAAAACGGAACTCTATCAGGACCCCGATGTATACCCTAAAACCTAGCCCTAAACCCTAAACCCTAAGCCCCAAGCCCCAAGCCCCAAGCCCCAAACCCCCAACCCCAAACCCTAAACCCTAAACCCTAAACCCTAAACCCTAAACCCTAAACCATGCCGGCAGAGTGGCGCTAAGGTTGCTGCTCACGTACTGCAGCCCATCTTGTCGATGGAGCTGACAGGGAAAGCGGCGGGGCAAGCTGCAGATCCCCTATCCCATTCCTTCGTAGAACCTCAAGCCATAAACCCTAGACCCCAAACCCTAAACCCTAAACCCAGGATTTTTCAAGGATTTGGGCGGCTGAGGATCCAGGAAACAGGTTCAGCGTCTGGGCTTATGTATTCGGGCTTGGGGCGGTTCTGGGTCTCATAGAGCTTGGGATGTTAGGCTTTGGGTTTCAAGGGTCAAGGGTTTAAGGTTTAGGGTTCAGGGTTTAGGGTTAGGGTTTAGTCTTTGGGTTTCATGTGTTCAAGGGCTTAGACTTAGACTTTAGGATGGAAATATGGGGGCCTTAACTAATTGTTAGAAGAGGGTTTTGAGGGGATATTACAGTTTAGTCCTGAAGGGAGAAAATATTCCGACCCCTATACTAGGGTGTTTAGTAGGATGCCAGGGTTTAGGTTTGGGAACACCCTAAACCGTAATCCCTAAACCCTGAACTCTAAACCCCTAAACCCTGAGCCCTAAGCCCTAAACCCCTAACCCCTAAACCCTAAACCCCAAACCCTAAACCGCAGCTCTTGGTTTTTTAGAGCTACAGCAACCCCAAACCCCAAAAATCCCAAAGCCGTCCTGGGCATGCGGATCCTCACTGATGCTGGTCGCCACCATGGCGGGCTCCTGCACAGTCCGTCAACGCACTTCGGGGTTTAGGGTTTAGGGTTTAGGGTTTAGGGTTTAGGGTTTGGGGTTTGGGGTTTTTAGGAGTTTAGGGGTTTGGGGGCTCGGGGATTGACAGGCTTTTAGGGTTTAGGGTTTAGTCTGAGTTTGGGGGTTGGGGGGGGCTTAGGGGATATACCCCCTGAGCCCTGAGGGTAGGGGCTAGGTGGCTCAGGATTGCCAAGAACTGTACTTATAGCCATGTTGGGGCATATAAGTGGGTTCGAAGTACAGCTATAGTTTTATAACCCTAAACCCTAATCCCTAAACCCTAAACTAGGTACCATGAACCTCCAAGTGGTGGCTCAGCTCAGGGTTAGACAGAGTGCGCGGCATCTTGGCCGCAAGACGTGCGGGACGGTTTAGGGTTTAGGGTTTAGGGTTTAGGGTTTAGGGTTTAGGGTTCAGGGTTCAGGGTTCAGGGTTTAGGGTTGAGGGTTTAGGGTGTAGGGTTTAGGATCAACTAATCAGCTCATCGGATGATCAACCGTCAACCCTAAACCCTACGCAGCAGAGCGGGACTTTGATGACTAGAAATGAACCCTAATGTAGTGCAGTTTATGCTGTGACCGTAAGGTGCATTGCATACTTGCCTATATCAAGTAGGGTACATATTTCTTGTACCCCCAAAAGGACACCAGGTATATACACTCACCAATAATAAAAAGGAGCCTTATATACACTCACCAATAACAGAAATATCAACCCTACTTCATACTAAACCCTAAACCCTAAACACTAAACCCTAAACCCTAAATATAAACCCTGCTTCATAGGAAACTATGTCAGGAGCTCGTTGAGGGTTCAGGGTTTGGAGCAGCAACCCTGAAGCCCAAGCCAGAAGGCAAACTAGGGTTTAGGGTTTAGGGTTTTAGGTTTTAGGGTTTAGGGTTTAGGGTGAATATCCCAGCCTGGCTCCGATTCGACTCCGACTTGGGGCGGGCACCACTCGTCGGCAGTTGGCAGACGACTTCCTCCTCCACTCAGAGGGTTTAGGGTTTAGGGTTTAGTTAGGGTTTAGGGTTTATATAGGGTTTAGGGTTTAGGGCTTAGGGCTTAGGGTTTAGGGTTTTAGGGTTTAGGGTTTAGGGTTTTAGGGTTTTAGGGTTTAGGGTTTAGGGGGTTTAGGGTTTAGGGTTTAGGGTTTAGGGTTTAGGGTTTAGGGTTTAGGGTTTAGGGTTTAGGGTTTTGGGGCTAAGGTTTAGGGTTTAGGGTTTAGGATTCAGGGTTACAAGTTTTTTGGATTAGGGCTGTAGGGTGTAAAAGCATCCAGAGCACCATGATTGGACCATGGCACTGCACGTCCAAAGCAGACACTTCCTCGTGCTTGAAACCAAAGGTTGAGAATTCAGCGTAGTATAGGAGTCGGAAAAAATACTAATTAATAGTATTCCCTTATGGCCGCTATATAATTATACTATAACAATCCCCCCCCCCACAACAAAAAAAAAAAAACTATTCTAATTATTAAGGCCCCTATGTCAGGGTGGTCTGCAAGTGCACCCGATGACTGCAGCCCCAGCACAGCCCCAGCACAGCCGCAACGACTACCCAACCTCGCTGCTCTGCGACAAGACCTTGACGTTCCCCAACTGATAGGTCTCGTCCGGTTCCTGTCCAGGTCAGAGGGCATGGCTAGCAACGTCTACGTGTTTCATCAGTCAATTCGTCAAAGGACTGCACTTCGCCTTGAACGGAGTGCAAGCAATCCACCTAAGCCCTAAGCCCTAAACCCTAAGCCCTGAGCCCTAAAGCCTAAAGCCTAAACCCTAGCACCCCTGGCCCTAGCCAACCCCAGCCCCCTCAGCCCCAGCCAGCCCCGCCCTAGCCCCCCAGCCCCCCCAGCCCCCAGCCACAGCCCCAGCCCCGGCCCAGCACAAAAGTAAAAAAGATAACTTTCGGTCAAAACTATCGGTCAAAACCTTCGGTCAACACTCCAGACATGAACCCTATACAATGTCTATAAACCCTAAACCCTAAACCCTAAAACCCCAAACCCCAAACCCTAAACCCTAAGCCCTAAACCCTAAACCCTAAACCCCAAGCCTTGGAGGAGCTGTCGGTCTCTGTCAAGGCAGGGAGGAGCTGCAGTGCGCCCTGCGCAAAGGCGCAGGGGCGCGTAGTAGGCAGGGTTTGGGGTTTAGGGTTTGGGGTTTAGGGTTTAGGGTTTCGGGTTCAGGGTTTGGGGTTTAGGGTTTGGGGTTCAGGGTTTAGGGTATGGCTCCTTTCTTTAGCCACTCGATCGAGGCACCGGCTTCATGCGGCGCGTATGCTTACTATACTAACTATAGTTAAGGGACTTAAAACCTAATTTACGCTCAGACCCCGCGTCTTGCCGCGCATTTATTCGGGCGGGGCCTGCGGGAATGGCAAAAACCTCGCAAATACCGTATTTCTCGTCGGTGAGGGCAACAGCAAGAAGGATTATGTTAACATTCTGTTTTTACTAAAAGTGCATGTTAGTGTAGAACGCGTCAGGCGGGGTGGCGGACGTAAAGATACATTATCACGGGTTTGGGGGTGGAGGGGCTTGGAAGTTTAGGGTTAAGGGTTCCTTTGGCCATTCGCACGCACTGGTCACACGGACGTTATCATCGCAGGGCATGGCTGCTCTGGCCATTTGCATGCACTGCCTTGGGGACGTTAGGGTTCATTTCGTCCCCAAGGTGGTGCGCTTCAAGAACGTACGGCCACGACGAAAGTGGCTCGAACGCAGCTTAGCCATGGCGCCTCTACATTTGCGGGGTTTAGGGTTTAGGGTTTAGGGTTTAGGGTTTAGGGTTTAGGGTTTAGGGTTTAGGGTTTAGGGTTTAGGGTTTAGGGTTTAGGGTAGGACCGCGTGGAGGGCGCGCTGATTTTGAAGCCCAACAGCCACGATCTGTCGGCCTGCGCGCATTCCAAGACGTGTGCGCTGCGGCGTAACGTCGGGTCTGAGGGCTAATCCCATCCCCCTAGTATTAAACGGGGGGCGCCCCCCTCCCCCCCCCTTTAAAAATTCGAAAAGTGTTTTATTATTAGGGGGTATTCTTATCGAGATGTCATAATTCGTTAGACTTCAGGGTTACTCAAGTAATCAACTTAAGTAAGTGTGGTGTAAACTGAAAGAGAGAAAGAGAAAGATAGAGAGAGAGAGAGAGAGAGAGCCCTAGACCCCCAAGCCTAAACCCTCTGAGGGTTTTATTGGTGTTGAGGGGTTTCTTGGAGGCCTGAACCCCCCCCCCCCCCCCCCCTAATTCGGAATAGGGTTTTAAAGGCGGGGTTGGTTTCGGCAGGATTTTCCGGAAAGTGTTTTTGTTATTAGGGGTCCATTTAATAAAAGGGGGAAGCGATTAGAACTCCTGCCAGTATGTTCACATCGAAGGGAGTTGATTTGGTTTCGTGTTTAGGGAGGCTAGGGTTGAGGGTTTAGGGAAGGAGTCCTAGAACCACTCCCCCAACCACCGAGCCCCAAAGCTTCACAAACGCCACGCCCTGACAAACCCTGAACCCACAACCTTGAACCCCCCAAGGCCCAAACCCCTCAACCCCTAAACCCCCTAAACCTTGAATCACCCTAAACCCTATAGACCCTAAACCCATAACAATAATCCCTAAACCCCTAAACGGCCCTAAACCCTTAAAGCCCTTAAACAACCCCAAGTCCCTGAACCATTTGCAATTACATAACCCACTTCTGAAAGTTAAGCCCAAGTTCCTAAACCTAGAAGCAAAACACTTAACCCTAAACTCCCTGAACTCCCTGAACCCCCTAAACTCCCTAAAGTCCCCCCTAAACTCCCTAAACTTCCTAAACCCCCTAAACTCCCTAAACTCCCGAAACTCCCTAAACCCTAACCCCCTCCTCCCCTCCCCCAAAAAACCAAGCTCAGAGTTTCCTTAGCGAACCCCCCCCCCCCCCCAACACCAAACAACTCACGCTCACCCGATCCCAAGGTGCCTGGAGTGGCTCCCCTTGGCGCAAAGGGTTTAGGGTTTAGGGTTTAGGGTCTAGGGTCTAGGGTCTAGGGTTTAGGGTTTAGGGTTTGGGGTTTGGGGTTTAGGGTTTGCTGTGATAGGGCGTAGATGCTGTGAAGGTTAGGTTTCCGACCAAGCTCGAAAGCTTCATGAGGTGCGAAGAGCAGCTTTGGCCCGATTGCGGAGGGCCATCTAACACTTTTCTCCCACCCCACGCCGTCCAAGGCGGCAAAGCCACCCAAACCTGTTCCTTTTAGGGTTTAGGCCTAAACTCAGACAACAGTCCACTTCTGAAAACTTGTTCAGTTTCAATTTTGGGGGTTCGGTTAGGGAGGGTTGCAGGAGGTGCCAGCACGGTCTCGGGTTGGGTAGTGGGGGCTAGGGTGTCAGAAAGACGGGCAGGGGGGTTACTGAAAGTTGAGGCCCCCCGGTCCCGAGGGTCCTGGACCCCTGGGCTGGGGGTCGGGGGTACCAAGGGACCAGTACTGGCCTCATGCTGAGACCTAGGTCGGCTTGCGCCATCGCTTGGCGCAAGCTTGGCTGCACGCAGGAGGGTGGCTAAAAACTTAAACTTTTAGCTGCCTTATTAAGAAGCCCAATAAACCCCAAAAAAGGTAAGGATCTAAAGCTACGGTAAAGTACCACAAAGGGAAGAGGGGTTGCGACTTCTTGGGATTGCTCGACAAGCCTTACAAACTTTTTTCCTGAAGCCCAGGATGTGCTTTTGGAAGGCTTTAGCCTTTTGAGGCTTGGAGGGCTAAGGGGTATAGGGTTTAGGGTTTAGGGTTTAGAGTTTAGGGTTTAGGGTTTAGGGTTTCGGGTTCAGGGTTTAGGGGTATACTTGAGAGATGTACTTGAGAGATTTGAGCATAAGACCTCCGACTTAACAACCCTCACGCCCTGAACACTTCCAAGCCCCAGAGAAAACCTGAGCCCCAGAAAATGGCTTAAGGCTTAGGGTTCAGGGTTACCTCAAAGCCGTAATTCTGTATAACTGCCCAGAACCCTATTCCACTTGGTCGCTCGTCTCAACTATGGAAGCTCTGAGGGGACCCCAAACAAGAACCGATTTAGGGCAACTTCACCTGTGTGCTTCTTAGGAAACCCGATGCCCTAAAGCCCTTTAACGCCCTGAGCCCTAGATACTCAACCCTGCAAACCCCAAAGCAAAAAAAAGAAACCTGAATCCTGTTAAACTTGACTTGTAAACCCTGTTGAGGCTATAAACCCAAAAACCCTATCAACCCTATAAGCCCCACCTATAAGCCCCACAACCTTAAACCCCTTTAAAGCCTACTGTTAACCCTTTTAAACCCTAACCATAACCGCAACCTCCAAAATCCCAAACAAACCAAAAAAAACCAAACCCTAAACCCCAAACAAACTCAGAAAACTGTGCATCTTCAAAAACCGATAAACCCTAAAAACCCTATAAACCCTATCACTCCAATAAACCCTGAAAAATCCTATAAACCCTATTCAAAAAAAAAACAACCTACTCTGAGCGCTCAATGAAGAGAACTGCGCCATCCTGAGAGCCAGACACCCTCTAAACCCAATAAACCCTATATCAACCCTAAACAAACCCTAGACCCTAGAAACCCCCAAAAAACCTCATAAACCCCAAATGACGAGAACTGCGCCATCTTCAGAACCGAGAAACCCTGGACAATCCATAAGCCCTCTTCAACATATAAACTACTCTAAACCCTACATGAAGAGAACTGCGGCATCTTGAGAGCCACAGCCTAAACCCTAAACCCTAAACCCTAAACCCTAAACCCTAAACCCTAAACCCTAAACCATCTTCAGAGCCCCAGCGGCGCTCTTTTGCCACGACCTCCAGCATCTCGGAGCGCACCGGTGAGGGCACCGGTGAGGCCATCGGCGTTGAGAGGGCCTCAGGAACAAGGGGCCTTTGGGGCTTGGGGGGGGTTTAGGGTTTAGGGCTAGTAGGGTTTAGGGTTTAGGGTTTAGGGCTAGTAGGGTTTAGGGTCTAGGGCTAGTGGAGTGTAGGGTTGGGGGTTTAATTAGGGCTTAGGGTTCTTAGAGAGCCCCAGTTGGATCATGCTCAGAATCCTGCAGGTATACATAGATGAATCACTCCATAAACTGACTGTTGTAGTTGGCTCAGATACAAAAAACCTCCTACTTGCCAAGTTCCCCGAGACTTCAAGTAGTGGCAGGCCAGTCTTTAGGGCAGACATCCTCTGCCAAGACCTCACTGAACCGAACTTGAGGATTCAGGGTTTAGGGTCCTAAACCCTAAACCCGAAGCCCTAAAACCCTGAACCCTAAACCCTAAACCCTAAACCCTACAGGGACACCGGTTGAGGGTCTTGGCTATTGAAATTTCAGTACGCAGCTTTGAACCACAGCCCCCGGGGCCCTACAACCTCAGCCCTCAGCCGAAAACCCTACACCCTACACCCTAAACCCTGAACCCTAAACCCTAAACCCTACAGCCCTACACCCTGAACCCTAAACCCTCTGCTAGGCGGAGCTCAGATTGCTTCCGCTGCGTCCTCAAGAACAACCCCAAACCCTGCGGCCTACGGCCCTAAACCCTAAACCCTAAACCCTAAACCCTAAACCCTAAACCCTAAACCCTAAACCCTGAACCCTAAACCCTAAACCCTGAACCCTAAACCCTAAACCCTAAACCCTAAACCCTCAGCCCCCACCCACTCCCCTGAGCGCAGCCTCAGAGGTGCAGAAGCTCCTGGACTCCAGGCCTCCCCCCAAAGAGGGGTTTAGGGTTTAGGGTTTAGGGTTTAGGGTTTAGGGTTTAGGGTTTAGGGTTTAGGGTTTAGGGTTTAGGGTTTAGGGTTTAGGGTTTAGGGTTTAGGGTTTAGGGTTTAGGGTTTAGGGTTTAGTGTTTAGGGCTTAAACCTTGGGGTCTACTTGGAGGTTCATGAGCCTCCAAGTAGGGCTTAGGGTTTAGGCTTTAGCTTTGGGGTTAGGAGGAGTTCCTTATAACCTATAAAGGGAGAATGTCAGGAAGGATTTTGCCACACCCCTGAGTCTATTTCTAGGGGCATGCCCCAAGGGGAATGTTGAATATTTCAGAGATGTAAGGAACCCCAGAGGCTCAACAGGGTCGACTTCGAAGCCCTTTTGACTTAGTAAGTCAAGCACATGATTCGTGAACCCTAAACCCTAAACCCTAAACCCTAAACCCCAAACCCTAAACCCTAAACCCTAAACCCTAAACCCCAAACCCCAAACCCTAAACCCTAAACCCTAAACCCTTCTCTCGCTTACAATCAATTGCTCACAGCTGTCTCCTTGACAGCCCAGTAACAA